CCGGGCCGGGCCGGGCAGCGTGCGGCGGAGCGCGGCGGTGGCGACAGCAGGATGCGGGAGGCGCGGTTCAGGGACCACTTCTGGGTGAGTGGGAGCACGGCGGGACCGGGACAGCGCGGGCAGAGCCAGACGGAGCCGGGGGGGCACAGCTGGAGGTGGAGGCATCGCTGCTTTCTGGTTAGAGTTGGCTCCAAAGCCAGCGACCCTGGTCGTGGAGTGACTTTGCTGAATGCTCTGAGTAAAACACTGGCACAGGTTTCCCCAGAGAAGCTGTTGGCTGCCCCTGGATCCCTGGCAGTGTTCAAGGGCAGCTTGGACAGGGCTTGGAGCAACCTGGTATATGGGAAGGTGTCCCTGCCCGTGGCAGAGGGTGGAATGAAATGGGCTTTAAGGTCCTTTCCAACCCAAACCATTCTGGGATTCTGTGATCCCCAGCAGGCACTGCCTACCATACATGTCTTGAGAGTTGAGGCTTTTCAGCCTGCTCCATGCAAGTGGCTGCTGCCTTGCTGGAGGAAGTCAGTGCCAGGCTGAAGGGTTGGATATCATTAATTTGCCATTGGAGAACTACTTGGAGACACCATAGCAAAAAATGTTCGTTTGATGTGGAGCTAATCCTGGGCTAGGAGCAAGTCACTTGGTGGTGCTGCTCCAACTGTTGAGCCACGGAGGAAAACCCACAGTTTGGGGAAGACCACAATTTATTATTTTCAGTCTGAATTAAGCTTTTATAAAAGGAGAAGTGCAGGAAACCCACATATCTGCTGCAAAGGTTCAGCTCTGTGGCTACTCGGTTCCTCTTGTGGTGGATCTTCATTCTAGGTATTGGCAACCGGGAAGTAAATTACCAAATTTGGTCTTTTGGAACTGAAAATCTTCATCTGTGAATGGTATGTGGGGCTCCCCAGATGTTGCCTGGAAGCAGCTTCCATCTTGTAGGATGTGGGAGAGAAGCACAGGCCACAGGAAGAGCTGGAACCAGGTTTGGGGCTCCTGAGTGCTGAGGAGTAAGTGCAGAGCAGCAGCCTTACCCAGCATCATTAGTGAGTTAACTGGCATAGCGTTGTCAAATACATAAATCTCACAGGTGTCAAACCTGTTGTGGAGAATAAAGCCAACTTTCCATCTGGCAGCTGCTTCCCAGCTGTTTTTTATGCAGAAGTTTTCCACAGTGCTCCCCTTGCTTTGCACATATGCAGAGGGGAGGTTTTGAGGGTGGTGGCAGCACCACCTGGGCTGGGGGAATAACTGATGCCAAAAAGGCTGAGTAGATGGGGCTTGTTGTGCCTCAGTGGCACATTGGATTGAAAAAGAGCTTCTCACTGCAGGGCTGACTTTGGCTAGTTCTGCCTGGTTTGTTCCTCTCCAGCAGTGGTGTGGTTTTTGAAGGAGGATCTTGGAGGAGGGGGCTCAGTGGGAGAAAACACCAGGTCAGGAGCAGCTTCTAACTCCCAAGACAGGGAGGATCTGGGGTGTTGCTTGGGGTCCTCATCTCTGCTGGATCACTTTTACTGTGAACACAGCTATTTCCTGAATAAATCCCTGTTTTTTGCTGAGCCCCAAACCAGTGGTGCTGCCAAGGATTTTTCCTGGGTTTTGTCCTTTGACTGATGGAACGTGCCTGGGGCAGGCAGCTGGGGTGGAGGTGGGATGGAACATGATGGATGTGACTCAGTGGAGAGACTGAGGCCCTTCTGTGGTCATTGGGCCCATGGAAAAGGCAGGTACCACCCCAAGCAGCTGCCACACCATGTACTGGTGACTGTGCATCAGCTGTGGGGGCTGGGGAGGAGGGGGGAATGAGGAAGAAGAAAACCAGATCAAGATGAAGTGTGGAAGGCTGTACATCCAGCTCCCACCTGCTGCTGAGTGCTGAGAGTGGGCATGCACTTCCTCCTGCAATTTTCCTCTTAGATTGCTTTGCGTAAGGCAAAAATAGGAGAAGTCTATGCTGAAGCAAGTGATTTCTTAGAAGCATAGAGTAATTTGGGGTGGGAAGGACCTTAGAAACCATCTAGACCAACATCCTGCTATGGTCAGGGACACTTTCCACGAGACCATGTTGCTCTCTGCCCTGTCCAGCCTGGCCTGGAACACTTCCAGGGATGGTGCAGCCACAGATTGTTAGAATACCCTCAATCATAAACAATTACTTCCTTATATTTAATATTAATTTCCCATCTTTTAGTTTAAAACCATCATCATTACAAAGAGCTTGGTGAGGCACAGCTTTCATCTTCTGTAGGTTCTTCACCTGTCAGACAAGATGAGATCAAGAGGGCTATTGCTGCATGATTTTGGGTAGGTGGCAGATGCTGCCACACATTGTTCTTTAGTGCTGATGCTGTCTCAGCTTCAGATCTGCTGGTCCAACAAAATGCCCATGTCTTTTTTTTTCCCCCCCCAAATTAACTCATCATCCCACTCTATCTGCAGAATCCCTAAATACTGGGGAAAATGTATGTTACTCTGGTGGGAGCAAATTTCTCTGTGGTTGGGACAGCCTGATGAGGAGGAGGAAACTTTGGGAATGCTCCAGGGGAGGTATGCTCCAACTGATGGGATAAAAGTCTAAAAAAAACTGGCCTACTCTCAAAATGTAGGCCAGTTTTGATATTGGATCTTCCAGCTTTGAAATGTGACTTGTTGTGAGTGATGACCTCCAAATTTCTTTGTGGGGATAGGATAGTATGGGTGAGGGTGGGCAGGCCCTGGCAGTGCCCAGAGCAGCTGGGGCTGCCCCTGCATCCCTGGCAGTGTCCAAGGCCAGGCTGGACAGGGCTTGGAGCAGCCTGGGACACTGGAAGGTGTCCCTGACCATGGCAGGGGTGGAATTGGGATGAGGTTTGAGGTCCTTTCCAACCCAAACTATTCTTGGATTCTGTGATTGTAGGCTTAGTTGCAGCCCCCTCTCTGCTCTGTTGGGATTAGCAGGGCTGTGCTTCCAGCCTCACTGTTACACTGTTGGGGATGGCGAGAAGCATGACACAGACTCTCTTGTGAGTTGAACAGGGTTTATTACCTCAGATCTTCTTTTATAGACTGATATGTGAAAGTACAGAAAGGTAAAACTCTTTTTTGTTACTAAACTAACACATTACCATCATTGGTCAGTGGGGTACACCAGCCCTCGACCTTCTCTTGCAAGAAAACAAGAAACTGACACAGCACCTGCAAGGCTGTTTTCTGTCCCTGAGGATTGTTTTAATGCCTCCTTATTTTATTAGATTTCCCAGGCTGCTTTCTCAGGTGAGACTGCTTTTCCACAGGCACCGTGCTCCCTGCTTTTGCTCATATTTAGCACCCATTCCTCACATGGGGACTGATTGAGTTTTAAACCCCAGCAGTTCTGGTTCCTTCACTGGGTACTCTGCTTTTGCACTGGCTGCTGCTGGAGCTGATGGTGTGATATTCCTGATGTGCTCTATTGGGAAAACACAGAGCTCTCTGCACTGATGTTTGCTCATGCTCTCAGGCCTCAATACAAGATGATGGATTTTCTTAGATGAAGAGGTTTGCTCTCTGGCACCCCTCTGCATCTTCTGCTTGCTCAGGGACTGAAGTCCAGCTATGCCTGAAGCTGAACATTTTTTGCCCTGCATGTTCTGATTCCCATGTCACACACACAGGCTGAGTATCCTGCCTGCCTGTGAGGGAGCTGTGCAAAAACAAAAATACCCCAAAGCTCGTGGTTTTTTTTTCCCTTTCCCTGCCTGTAATGATTGCTACAAGTTGGGTGGCAAGCATGACGTTTTGTTTTCATTTGTTTTTGCAATCTGCTCTTCTTCTTTCACTATGTGAGGTCTTTTCTTTCACTTTTTTTCACTTTCTTAGTACATGCCTTATTCTCCAGAAGCCTGTTCTTGCACATATTTCCGGTAACCCATCAACACTCTTTGGTGCTGATGTAAAACCATATGGTAAAAATAAAAATGACAATAATGCTAAGAACCACTCTAATTCTGATTCGTGGGCTAACAGGTGGCAACTTGGGGAGTGCAGTGTTGGTCATTTTGCCTTCAATGAGGCAATGCTCTGCTCCCTGCAGTGTGTTTAGTGATGCTGCTGAAACAACCCGTGGCTGGGGGGATGCAGCCCTGGGTTCCTGGTGGTGGCCGTTCCACTTCCCCTTTCCCCTGTTTGTCCTTCTCTAAACGGGGACTGGCCTGGTGGAACTTAGCAGCAGCATTGTGAAATCCCCAGCTCATTGTTTCAAAGGAACAAGGTGGGGTTTGTGGGGAGAAGAAGTCGTTGCATCAAGGCAGAATGGTCCATTGCTTTTGATGTCTCGGGGGCGACTGGGGAAGGTGTTGGCGTAGGGGAAGGAAACTTCAAATGGAAAATGACTAGTCAAAAAGCTGATTTTTGACTAGTCTGTGTTGATCTGTGTTGTGATTTTTGGAGGATACTGGTCTGAGGTGGGTGGATTTGTCTTTTCCTCCCTGCAATGAGTTTTTTCTGTCCTGGTACCCTGCTGGTAATGGGATGGGGAGGATCTGCAAGCTCTTGCAGCCTCTCCTCTCCTGCTCCCTACAGGCACCAGCATAAGCACTTTCTTTGTCTCAGCAACTTCTGCGGACACGGAGTGACTTTGAGCGTGCACTGAGCAAGGACAGCACAGCCAGCTACAGTTACACAGTGTTTCCCACTACTAAAATAGTCACCGGCTTCTGGTGTGTTACTCTAAGCACACAAGGCTGAGGAAACATACTGAGAGCTTGGAATAAATATAAATCTTTCAAGAGATGGTCCATGAACAAGTGCAGTGCCCCAAACCTTTCAGTTTGGGAAGGTTGAGACAGACTGCTGGAAGGCAGGAAAGCTCTGCAAGGGGATCTGGAGAGGCTGGATCCCTGGGCTAAGGCTGGAGGTGTGAGGTTCAACAATAACAAGTGCCAGGTGCTTTTCTTGGGTCACCCAACCCCTACAGCTCCAGGCTGGGACAGAGGGGCTGGAAAGGGCCCCTTGGGAAAGGTCCTGGTGGTGCTGGTGCCAGCAGCTGGACAGGAGCCCAGGGGTGGCCAGGTGGGCGAGAGGCCAGTGGCCCCTGGGCTGTGCCAGCCAGGTGTGACACAGCCCCAGGGCAGGGCCCGTCCCCTGTGCCGGCGCTGCTGAGGCACCTCCAGTGCTGGGACAGCTCTGGGCCCCTCAGCACAGGAGAGACACCGAGGGGCTGGAGCGTGTCCAGGGCAGGGAACGGAGCTGGGGAAGGGGCTGGAGCCCCAGGAGCGGCTGAGGGAGCTGGGAAAGGGGCTCAGCCTGGAGAAAAGGAGGCTCAGGGGGCCCTTGTGGCTCTGCACAAGTCCCTGCCAGGAGGGGACAGCCGGGGGGGGGTCGGGCTGTGCTGCCAGGGAACAGGGACAGGAGGAGAGGGAACGGCCTCAGGTTGTGTCAAGTGATGTTTGGATTGGATATTAGGGAAAATTTCTTCATGGCAAGGGTTATTAATCCTAGAAACAGGCTGCCCAGGGCAGTGGTGGAATCTCCATCCCCAGAGGGATTTAAAAGCTGTGTGGATGTGGCACTTGGGGACATGGATTAATGGTGGGCTGGGCAGTGCTGGGGAGCATTTGGACTTAGTGGTCTTAGAGGGCTTTTCTAATTTAAACATTTCTATGTTTCTCTGTTTCTCTAATGCCATTTTCTTCACAGGATGTGTGTCTGCAGGGGTTTTCCATGTAAAGTGGGGTAGAAGATGGAAGCGTCAGGCTCAGCAGCTTGCTATGACTCAGACAGGATCATGACGTGCTTTCACATCCCCGGCAGAACCTTTTAACCTCTCTTTTGGCTAAAAGTACAATCAAACCCCAAAACATCACGAACATGACACAAACCCCTTCTGGTTATTGAATCCAGGCAGCAGGTTGGGAAGCGGGGGCTGGATGTCCTGCGAGCTCAGGAAACATCAGGTGCTGCTTTGTCACCTTGAAATCATCTGTTTGCAGTTTCCATGGGCTGTCCTGTAAAGAGCGTCTGAGCTCACAGCTCTGCCCAGCAGGGAGGACCAGGACAGATGTGTGCTGGAAAGTGGCAGGAGAGATCTTCAAGCTCTGTTTGGGCAGGGCTTGGTGTAATTCCCCATCTTTCATATTTGCCTTTGGGTTATTACGGCTTTAAATCATCTTCTCTGTGCCCATGGCTCGCTGCCTGCCGTGTTGCACTTTCTCTTCCATTGCTGTTGCCAGCGCTGCCTTTGCAGTCACAGAATCCTAGAATGGTTTGGGTTGAAAGGGATCCTCAAGACCATCCCATTCCACCTCCTGCCATGGGCAGGGACACCTTCCACTGTCCACTTCCAAGCCCTGTCCAGCCTGGCCTTGGACACTTCCAGGGATGGGGCAGCCGCAGCTGCTCTGGGTGCCCTGTGCCAGGGCCTCACGATCTTCATGGCCAAGAAATTCTTCCCAATATCCCATCTAACCCTGCCCTCTGGCAGTGGGAGGCCATTCCCATCCCCAGTCCTTCCATTCTTTGTCCCAAGTCCCTCTCCAGCTCTCCTGTGGGCACTGGGCAGGGCTCTCAGGTCTTCCTGGAGCCTTCTCCAGGATGAACTCCCCGAGTCGTGCTGGTCCATTTGGCTGCTTCTGTGCCAAACCTGCCCAGAAGTTTTCTGTAAAGGCCGATTTGACACTGTACAACCCTGCCAGCTCCATCTGGGCTGGGAGCTCCTGCCATGGAAAACTCACATGGAGGAATTTAGAAGCCATATAAATGTGGCACTTGGGGACATGGGTAGGAGAACGGCTTGGCAATGCTAGGGAGTGTTTGGACTCCATGATCTCAGAGGGCTTTTCCAACTTAAACAATCGTGTGATTCCGTGTTTCACGTAACACCTTGCATCCTGAGGTCTGGTCCAGCCTTGTGTGCTTAGGAACACACATGTGCTGGAATTAAATCCTTCTGCTGTAGATGGAAGAGTGATAAAACAGAGAGCTTAGTGTACATTATTGGTAGATACTCCCAGTTTTCCCCTTGACCCTCTACCTGGCACAGGGACCCCAAGAGTGCTGGGCAGCAGAGCAGGATGCAGGAGCCTCTGGGTGCCCCTGGATGTGCAGTGATGGGGCTCTGCCTTCCCTCCTTCCTGGGATTGAAATGACCAGCAGTTGTGCTTTGCATCCGTTTTGTTTCCTTTGAAAGTGGGGATAGGAATTCAAGTTAGGCTGTTCCTGTGTTTTGCAAATGTAATGAAGCCTGACTCCAGTGCAGTGTTTCCTTTTCACAGACCCAGTCAGTGAAGATGTGGAGCAACCTGAGAGCTGGTTGTGAATTTATCAGTATCAACCTCAATTTGGAGGGACATTTGCACTTTGTAAAGGAAGTTTGGTTTCTGCTTAGATCCTGCTCTACAGTCCTGTGTTCCCATGCAAAGCTGATCTGGAGATACCTGTGGATTTTCTGCCAGTCCCACTTTACCACATCTCCCTTTCACTTCTCATTTTCTGGTCTCTGATAGTCAAGTACTTGAATAGGGAATTCCATTTAATTAAACTCTTCCTTTATCACAAACTCTTCCTTTATCGCATCAGCAACAAACTCTTTAAGAAATCCCCTCTTCTGCTGCCCACGCTTTTATGCCAGATCTCTGCATACTCTCATCCTGGCTTTGAACTATTTCCTGAATCTCTCCATCCTGCCACTATCCTGTTCAGGTTTCTTGATAATGTTTTGTGGCTTTTGTTTCCTATTGCTGAGCTTCATAACTGCTCCTACTATTGCTCCCTTTTCTGCAGCCATGTATAGGAATGGGGAAAGAATGAGGTAGAGTAAGTCAGCTTACATCATTGCTGCATCTTTTTTTTTTCCTTCTTTTTCTTTTTTCCTTTTCATTTTCCTTTTCCATTTTTTTTTCTTTTCCTTCATGCATCAGTGCAACATGTTTTTAAGGAATAATTTGGAAGAAAACACTGACCCTTCAGAAGTCTATGGCAAATGTGAGTGGCATAGATGTATGTTGTCTCAGATTTCCACTGTTGTTCTCATTCTGGAGTCTCTCCTACCCCTAAACCAAAAGATTTTATTTCATAAAGAGCATTTCATAACTTGCACACTTGCTCCTGCTGAGCCAGTGCCTCAGGAGGTGGATTGCACTGACAGGGACTCCTGTTCCTGTGTTTTCAGAGCACGGATCTGACCAGCACAGTTGGCTATGACAGCATCATTCAGCATCTGAATGATGGCAGGAAGAACTGCAAAGAGTTTGAAGACTTTCTGAAGGAAAGGTAGGAAGCTGCCTCTGACAATGGGGTGGGTTGAGCCTGGAAGTGGTGCTGTGGCACTACTCCTTCTCCTGGTATTCCCAGTTTGATTTCTGCTATGTTTAACTGATGTTAAAATGCTGTCCCATGAAGCTTACCTTGCTGTTTACCTTGCAGAAGATCAGGTAAGAAGATCTTGGCCTAGGGGAGCCATGGCTTTGTCCTGTCCTTGTCTCTGTGCATTATGAGCACCCCATATATTCAGTGTTAAAAAGTGGTAATGTTAGGTACTGCCATTATTAATCAGAGGAGATGACCTAAGCCAAAATTCTGTGGCTGCAAAAACAGCTGTGATGATCTGGCCATGTATTTTGCCTTTATGGTTCACCTGGTTAGCAATGGCTGAATGTAAAGAGCATTGTAAAACACTGTATATTGAATTAATGTCATTTTGGTAGTGACAACTGGAGAAAACCATCCTCTGACTGCATGACTTGGTACAGAGCATCCTGGAACAAACAAAATTGGGAAGAACAGGAGGAGAACTGCACTTAAAAGTGTCTAATGCACCTACATCTGTTCAAGCTGTAATCCCATCTTCCAGGAAAATTTGGGCTTTCCACATGAGGAGGTGGACCCTGAGAGCCAAGTCTCACTCATCTGTGACAATGCAGTGCCAAAAGCCTCCTCTACACCCTGTGCCCTCTGTGGTCTTGAAGGGAGGTGTAGGTTGCCACTGAAGTGTCTAGCCAGGAGGAAATCAGAGGCTGGACCTGGATTTGCCTTCTTGGACTTGGCCCAGGTGTCCAGCATGGCTGTTACACAGTTCCAGCTATGGGGAATGTGTCTGCTGGATGTTTTGTCTCAAACAAAGTTCCTGGGAATGTTGTTAGGTTAAAAAAAAAAAAATTAAAAAAAATCAATGTATAATACATTTTTTTTTCAATTTCCCTATTAGCTTTTGGAGCTTTTAGAGTTAAGCTAAGTGAATTTAATTGCCAAACTCCAGAAATCAATTACACAGGGGGTCTCCACCTGTGTTAGTAGTTAAGGCATTTTAGAAAGTTATTTTTTTTATCCAGTAGATGTTCTAATGGCAGCCTCTAGCAGTACTTGTTCCTTTCCACTGGCTACAAACAGCTAGGGCTGCCCACATGAAGGGAACTACATTTGACCAAGCAAGTCCAGCCCTGGTTGTTTGTAGTGATTTCAAAGCAGCTGCAAAAAACCTGGTGGTTCTTACACTGCAACACATGGGCTCTCTTTCCCTCCTTCCTTTGTTCTGAGAGGAGGAGGTAATATGGTCTCCCAAATATGTTATTTATGAAACCTCACAAGATTTGGTCTCTTCTACAGGTGTTCTCCCTAAGGATTAGTGCCAGGTACAGAGAGTACTCATTGCCACACATTGCCAGAGGGCAGGATTAGATGGGATATTGGGAAGGAATTCTTGGCTGTGAGGGTGGTGGGACCCTTTTTGGCACAGGTTTCCCAGAGCAGCTGTGGCTGCCCCATCCTGGAAGTGTCCAAGGCCTCTCGGAGCTTGGAGCACCCTGGGGTTGTAGAAGATGTTTTTGCCCATGGCAGAGGGTAGAACTGGAAGAGCTTTCAGGTCCCTTCCAACCCAAACCAATCACTGATTTCTCTCTTTGATTTTTCTCTTTCCTCAACAGAGCAATTATAGAAGAAAAATATGGCAAGGAGCTCATTAACTTGTCGAAGAAGAAGCCCTGTGGGCAGACAGAGCTGAAGTAAGTTCGCAGTTGCTTTTATGGGAGTCGCTGAAGCAGGGAAGGAGGAAGAAGAGAAAGGAAGCTGTGAGACAAAACAGAATGGAAATGTGATTAGGAGATGAGCTGAAATCATTCTCATGAATGAGCAGTGCCCAGTTGGGCTCTAATTGGCTTTGTTTTGGAGCCCACCAGGTTCCCCTTAGCCACAGATTAACCAAAGCACTGTAGATGCTCAGGGGAGGTGTGGGCTGGTGGGTCAGCAGAAAGCTGAGTTTCATGAGACCTTGGGTTACCTCCAGGCAGGTTTTGTAGCCAGAGGGAACTACAAGTACTTCCTTGAATCAAACCACGCAAATCTTTAGAGCCCAGCGTGCTGTGGCCACCATGGTTTTTTCCATTTCCCAAGTGATCTTCAGTGCCTTCTGCTTCCTCCTTTGTTTCTGTGCTTTACACATGCCCTGGTCATTTACTTACAGTTTCATATTGAGGTATTACTTAAAATGTTTCAGACCTCTTTACTGTGTAATATTAATAGGGAGAAAAGCTCCCTACTTTTCCAACCACTGGAAAATGCACCATGTTGAAATTGTTTATCTGTTCCAGGTGATGGTTTTAGGAGGTTGCCAGAAATATTTGTCACAAAACTTTGAGTTTTTAATGGCACCCAGTGTTCAGAAAGATGTAAAATAGGTATCAAACTAAGTGAACTGTGTTACACCTGCTGAGAGGGGGAAAAGCTGGAGGTACTAAGAGGGTAAATAAAAGTGCTTTGAGGTACTTTGGCCATTGCTGAGTGACCTCTGTTTTGGAAGAGGTGCTCTGCTGATGCCTGTGGCTGACTGTGCTTTTCTACCCTCTCTATTGCCCTGCCTGTGTTTTTCAGCACGCTGAAGAGATCCCTCGATGTTTTCAAGCAACGTAAGTAATTACTGGTGTTTGCCAGGACACTTGGCAGTGCTAAAGCCTGAAGTGCTAGGGAAGAAAATAGCAGAGAAATCTCTAAAGCTGTGCAGTGCTGAGGCCAGGCATAGGCTGTACTGCTGGCCTGGTTCATTCCAGTGTGGGGGGTGTGGGACAAAATGAGCCAGGACGTGTGTGGGACAGGAGACCCACAAGGCATCATTTTGGGATCTCTTGGGCTTTCAGGTCTGTTTATGTTTTTTTCATGTTTATGTTGTGCATAGGAAGCTGTGCACAGGGTGCTCATCTGGGGTTTGTTGGACAGGCTTGTCCTCCTCACAAACACACTGTAACTCACACCTTGAACCTGGGGACAGCACAGGAGAGACACCGAGGGGCTGGAGCGTGTCCAGGGCAGGGAACGGAGCTGGGGAAGGGGCTGGAGCCCCAGGAGCGGCTGAGGGAGCTGGGAAAGGGGCTCAGCCTGGAGAAAAGGAGGCTCAGGGGGCCCTTGTGGCTCTGCACAAGTCCCTGCCAGGAGGGGACAGCCGGGGGGGTCGGGCTGTGCTGCCAGGGAACAGGGACAGGAGGAGCGGGAATGGCCTCAGGCTGGGCCAGGGCAGGTTTAGATTGGATAGTAGGGAAATATTTTCATGGAAAGAGTTGTCCAGCCCTGGCAGAGCTCCCCAGGGCAGTGGCGGAATCTCCATCCCCAGAGGGATTTAAAAGCCGTGTGGATGTGGCACTTGGGGAAATGGGTAAGTGGTGACCTTGGTCTTTCTGGGGGAATGGTTAAACTTGAAGTTCTTCAGAGGGGTTTTCCATCCTAAATGATTGTGTTATTCTAACTGGAGCACCTAGAAGATGGTGCTTTGGCCAGCATACGTTGTCATGTGTCACATCCTGCCATGGTACCATCAGACAGCAGCTTGGGGGTGAGCACTTGGCTATCCTGGTCCATCCCTTGCCCAGTCCAGGTTTCTTTGCTGCCCCTGTGGACCTCCCTAACAGAGCTCTGCCTTCACCAGTGCTTACAATTCACAGCTGTGGGTTTGGAGAAGCTTTGGGGATTGAATCAGGAGCTGCCCTTTGGCTCCACTGCCTTGGTGGACTTGCTGGGGTGGTGTTTCCGTGTGGCCACTTGCCTTCAGCAAGAGGAGCCTGAGATTGTTTTAGCCTTCATTTTTCTGTGCTCCAAGTCATTGCCTGCTGGCCTGGGGCAATGCACTGTGTTGAAACATGCCTAGATTTACCTGCCTGAGGGGGAGAGTTTTCTCAAACTGGGGAGCAGGTCCCAGCAGGATCCTCACATTGCTGGGCACTGCTTGGAGGCTGCTTCAGACAAGCTGGAGCTTTTTCACATTTCTGAAAGGGGATGTGTGATGTGTTCTAAGTTTACTTGAGAAACAGTCTCTTTAGGAATATCTATATATATATAAAAATGTTGAATTTATTTTCTCTTTGCAGAGATAGACAATGTGGGACAAGGTCACATCCAGCTGGCACAAACCCTTCGGGAGGAAGCAAAGAAGATGGAAGACTTCAGGGAAAAGCAAAAGCTGCATCGGAAAAAGGTCAGGCACCGTGGGAAGACGTGCCTTCCTGCAGGGTGTTGATCCTGCCCCAGCAAGGGGCTGATCCTGGTGCTGTCCCATGCCATGCCCCCACTGCCTGTGCTGCTGGGAAGTACTGAGCTCCTTCCTATGTGTTGTAACTGTGTTGAACTGTGTAGTAACATCCAACTTCCTTCTTCTCACTTCCACGTCTTCTTCATGTGCTTTTTGGGGTCAGCCACAGCACTGGAATGTTTCTTTAGCTCCATTTATTATCTCCATTGGGGAAGTCATACAGCACTTGGCTAAAATGATCAAACCTTTTAAATTCTTCTGGCTTGAGATTCCTTTGTCTGGTAAACCAGGGAAAACTGCCAGAACCAGGGACTGGTTTGGACCTGGAAGTGGGGAGCAGGCTTCCCAGTTTTGCCAGAGTCTGTGGAGGTGATACAGTACTATATATTGCTAGGATTTAGTTTTTAGAGCTCCTTTGCATGCACAATTCAAGGCTTAGGCAGAAGCACAAAAGGTGAGTTTTGTGAAGATGATTTGGGTGGTTGAAGGCCTTTAAACACATCTCATTGTGGTGTGTGGCTCTTCCTCTTCTAAGCCCCAGAGTGTGTACTGGAGCTTTGATGGTCAGTGATGTGCTGACCCCAGGTCTGTTGTCTTCACAGATAGAGCTGATAATGGAGGCAATTCACAAAAACAGGAATCTTCAGTACAAGAAGACCATGGAGGTAAAGCAAATGTGCTGCTGTTCCTTGTCATGTGGGTTAATGCTGCTCACACCAGAGCACTGGGATAGGCTTAAATGAGAGGGGTTTCCTCTTCTGCTGTGACTCTTGACACCATGTCTGTGTGAGTGCTGTGCAGGGTGTGCTCAGAAACAGAGAAGAGCACACCAAAGACATGGCCAGTGGTAACTTCGGCAGGGTTGGATACAAATGGCTTAGAAACAGAGAATTATTCAGGCTGGAAAAGATGTTTGAGTCCAACCATTTGCCCAGCACTGCCAAGCCCACCACTAACCCATCTCCCCAAGTGCCACATCCATACATTTTTTGAACACTTCCATGGGGGGTGACTGCACCACTGCCCTGGGCAGACTGCTCCAGGGCATGAAAGTGATTTCTGTGAGGAAGTTTTTCTGAATATCTACTCTAAACGTCCTCTGATGCAACTTGAGGCCACTTCCTCTTGTCCTGTAGCTGTTCCCTGGCGGCAGAGCCCGACTCTCCCCTGGCTGTCTCCTTCTGCTGGGGAGTGGTGCAGAGCCAGAACATCCTCCCTGAGCCTTTGTTTCTCCAGGCTGAGCCCCCTCAGCTGCTCCTCATCAGACTTGTGTTCCTCCCCATTCCCCAGGCTTTCTCTGGACATGCCCTTGGCCTTGATTGCCAGGAACTTTTCACTCCAATCCAAGAGCAGCCTGCCTTGCAAGGCTTTTCCCAAACTGCAGGGCACCTTTTGTGCCATTCCCTGCTCTGCAGGCAGCCTGTTCCCTTGCAGGCTGAGCTTTTCCCCAAGGGCTTTCCCCGAGATGTGTCTGCATCTGGCTGTTCTGGTGTCTGTCCTAGGCCAAGCGTCTGTACGAGCAGCGCTGCCGGGACAAGGATGAGGCGGAGCAGGCTGTGCACCGCAACGCCAGCCTGGTCACACAGAAGCAGCAGGAGAAGGTATGGGAAGTGGGTGGCCACAGCCACCACAGTGGAGGGGAATGAAGGGGAAAGGGATGTTTTTTCTTGCAGCTCTCATGCCCCATGGCTTGTCTCCCAGCTCTGGGTTTTGGGGTGAGATGGGGTGGCTGGTGATGCTCCCCAGTGGGGCTGAAGTGCCACTGCTGACACAGCCAACCTCTTCTCCACCTTCCTTGTCTCTCCTGTTTTTGTCAGCTGTTCCTGAAGCTGGCTCAGACAAAATCAGCACTGGAGGACACTGGTGAGTGTGGAAATGCCATGCTGGGATGGTGAGGGGAGTGTTTCCAGGGGCAAGGGGTTGTGAAGGTGTGATGTGGCTCGTGGGTGAGCTCCAGCTCTTGGGTCAGGCATGACTCCTCAGAAACACATACCCAAGATAGCAGCAGTGGGCAACTTCCCTGGAGAAGCCTGCATGGCCCCACCAAAGCCATGTCCTTCTGAGATCCCTGATCTCCCTTCCTTTTCAGCCTTTATCCCAGCCCTAGAATTACCTTCTAGTGAAGGGATATTTTAATGAATGTTAATCATGGAATCATAGAATCATAAAATGAGTTGGGTTGGAAGGGACCTTAAAGGTCCTATCTCATTCTGACCCCACTGCCATGGGCAGACACACTTTCAGCCAAAATATGGTTTGTCTCACAGACAGGAGTTACCAGCAGAGTGTGACCACAATGGAGAAGATCCGGGAAGAGTGGCAGAACGAGCACATCAAAGCTTGTGAGGTAAATGCCCCTAAACACTTCCACATGGCAGTGTGGTCCTCTGGGTTTGCAGTCCTGGCTGCAGGGCTCAGGGACGTGCAGATTTGCTGTCTGTGTGTTCCCCTGGCAGTGACAGCTGACCCTGTGTGTGTCTCAAGCATGGCTTCTGGATTCAAGGCCCCACTGCTTCAAGGTTTCTGCTTTTATTTAATTATTTTTTATTTTCCAGCACCTTGACAGGGTCAAGGTAGTGACATTTTTGCCCACTATCTGCTTGCATGTGTGGCATGGCTGTCATCTTGAACAGCTGTGGTCACCTCTGGATACTCAGTGACTCCAGGGCAGTATGTCCTGGAGCCTCAACAACACCTGGAAGACTGTCTGAAACTCTGGAAGACTTTACATGACTTTGCAGCAGAGGCTGCTGGTGGCTGGAGATGCAGGTGAAGCCATCTCCACACGCACCCTGTGCCAAAAGCCCTTCACCTCGTGTCTCACAGACCATGCAGTAGTGTGGGAACCCCTCTGAGTGTGTGTATCAGCCTGAAGCAGACTGCCTCACAGGGAAGTGGTCCAGCAGGGATTTCTAGCACATGCTGTGGAATTCCAGACTAGCAGGAGGGCAGCAATTCCAGGTAGCAAGAGGGCTGAGCATCTGCTCTGCTGCTGGCCTGTGATCTGTGACTGAGGGGTGGACAGGGACTGGAAAGACAGATTTTATCCCAGATCTGCTTCAGCCTTGCAACCAACTTTCCCATTCCCAGCTGTGCTGATCCCTTCCAAGTCAGGTCTCTTCAGGCTGCTATTCTACTTTTCCCTTTTGAACTGGAATTTGCTGTCTGTTTTGTGTGATGTGGGTGTCTCTGTGCTGGTGTGCCTTTGGAGTCTTCTCTGGAAGCCTCTAGGATGGGGACAGAGTTTAGTGGTGGCTTGGCAGTGCTGGGTTACTGGCTGGTCTCGATGTTCTTAAACAGCTTTTCCAACCCTGACAATTCTGTGGTGGGGAGTGGAAAGCAGCAGTTTCAGTTTTGCAGATGGGTGATGTGGAAGTTTTCCTCTCCCTGTGTTACAAAGGTCGTAAGTGGTAACAAGTGTGGATGTTCACGGAAATGTGTGAAAGGATGTGAAATTGAGGAGTACTAGACAGCAGATTTCAAAAGGGTTTAAACCTGCTTGGAGTAGGGCTGGGTAGGAAAGAGCAAGGAGACCAACCAGTCAATATACCTCTGATTTCATAGATCCCCAGTGCTTTTTTTTTCATTGCTCCATACCTGGAACATGGAAATGTTAAAAAAAACATGTACATGTGGCAGCTGGGGAAATGTGTTAGTGGTGACCTCGGCAGTGCAGGAGTAATGGTGGAATTTGAGGATCTTAGAAGGCGTTTCCAACCTATATGATTCTTTGATTCAAGGGTACCTGTGAAAAGGAAGTGGAGTGGAACCACAGGCAAACAGGGAACCTGTACTGCTTTTAGGAAGCTGGTTGGTTTCCCCAGAGGTAGAAATGTGCTGGGTGGTCCCCTCCACATTAGGCTTACAGATTTTCCAAGCTTAGTACTCAACTTTTAATTACCTGGTTGCAGAGAAGGATTATCTCTTTGAACAAGCCAGAGGACTCACGGCTTCCTTGTTTCCTGCAGAAGACCAACACCAACTCCTTCTGGCAGTTAGCTTTGTTTTGGCATGTGGGGGTGAGAAGCAATTAGGACAAAAGAGATTTGCCCTCATTTTAAAGATGTTATGGACAGTTTTGTCTGTGTTTTTTTCAGTTCTTTGAGACTCAAGAGTGCGAGCGGATCAACTATTTCCGTAATGCCCTCTGGCTCCACGTCAACCAGCTCTCCCTGGGATGTGTCCAGAATGATGAGGTACCTCAACTTAAAATACTCATTTTTCTCTGCAGGAAAGCAAAGCCTAATTTGTTTTCCTAGGCACTAAGCTGTGTTACATCAAATTTGGGCTGTGGCTCTTGATTGACCACGGATGCTGGCATGAGTGGGCAAGCAGAAGGATTGGCCAAAACTCTTGCAAATGATGTTTCCTTTGGGATTCCCACATTCTTTGAGGGTGGAGATGCCCCGGCACAGATTTCCCAGAGAAAATGTGGTTGCCTCATCCCTGGAAATGTCCAAGGCCAGGCTGGACCGGGCTTGGAGCAGCCTGGTCTAGTAGAAGGTGTCCCTGCCCATGGCAGGGTCTGGAATGGGATGGGCTTTAAAGTTCCTTTCCAACCCAAACTATTCTGGGATTCTGTGATTCCCCTGACAGTGGAGCTTGTGTAAGTGAGTACTGGGCTTTCACCCTGTGTGTGGTAAGCAATTGGGAAAAAGCCTTGGGTTTTTTTTTGACCTGATATAAACAAATGCACTTTATTTCCCATTTGCAGAAATATGAGGAAATCCGCAAGAGTTTAGAAATGTGCAGCATTGAGAAGGATGTTGATTTTTTTGTAAATTTACGCAAAACTGGAAGTTTGGCTCCAGGTAAGAATCTCAGAATTAATAGAATCTCAGAAAGTAGTGCTGTCTGCTCTGTACTCCTCATGGAGCTGGCTGCCCTGGTCAGCATCATTTTGTGTGCAGAAAACACTCATTTTGCATTTCATTCGTTGCCATGCAGCACTAGTCTCTGCCACTCTCGACAGCCCCTGGAGATCATAGTCCTGTTTTTCAGTTTCCTGATCAGGAATTTTCTCAGGGAGGAGGAAGACTTAGCAGCTGAATGTTGGTATAGCAAGTATTTTATGTCTGTAAGAGGCTTGTACTTTACTACTCTCAACTCTCCTAGCTCCTGTTGTTTATGAAAACTACTATAATGCCCAGAGAAATGTGACTCCTGCTGCGAGAAGTCCAGCTCCTGTGCCTATATCAAGGTAAGGTGTGTAACGTGTGCAACTGCAATTGTTACTGCAGATGATGCTCCCTCCCCCAAAACAGGCATATTCTGTTCCTTTCAGTCTATTAGAAGCTTAAGTTAAGCTTCTAATTCCTCTATTTAGAGGAAAATATTTACTTGCATGGTGTATCTATCTGTCTGAGGAGGGTTAAAAGCATTTGTGGGTGGAGAGAGGAACTGCAGAGCTGAATTCACTCTTGTGGGACAGAAGCTGGGCAGGGAGGACATGGTGGAGGGTTTTTCTCTCGGGGGAAGATGATGACTGGGGCCAAGACTCATGCTAAGGATGAATTGTCACTTTGGCTGCCACACTCAGAGAGGAATCATGCCCAATTACAGCTTCCTGATGTCTCACTCTGGCAAAGGGCATGTACAAAGACATGCCCTGAGGCTCACTTGTGAATTTTCCCCCGACTCTGTGCTTTCTGGTTATTTTTCCTCTCCTCCACTGTGTCAGGTTCCTGTGTTTGCCAAGTGGGCTGTGGGTGGTGAGCCCATCATGACTTGCCTTGTCAGGTCTCCATAAAGGTCGGGCTGGCCAAACCTCTTGCCCTCCCACCAGCTCTGGTGGGGCAGCTGTGGGTGCAGAACCAGGGCAAAGGGAGTTCCTTAGCCATGCAGATCCTCAGCTCTGTGTTTCCTTCTGTGCAGGAGGGGACCCTTGCCCACCCCGACCAGTGCACCAGGTGAGTTACTGCTTCGTGTGCTTTCTGGCCACACAGGGGAACTATCACTTCAGCCCTTGCCCAAAGTCCCTTTCCAGCTCCCTTGGACCCCCTTTAGGCACTGGCAGGGGGTCTCCTTGGAGCCTTCTCTTCTCCAAGTGAAACCCCCAGCTCTCCCAGCCTGGCTTGAGCCTCATTCACTCTTGCATCCCATCCCTTTAATGTCGCTGGCCAGTGTGTGGTGTTTCTGCTCTGTTTAAAATCACATAATGAGCACTTCACATGGGTAACCTGAGGGGATTTTTTGTACTTTGTGTTTCAGGGGAGCCTGATTATGCCACAGTTGATGGCTACAGCTTGGTACATTTCTAACAGTCACAGTAAGTACCCACTTTTGATGGACAAATGAGGCTTAAAAGAAAGAGGGGGAAGAATTTTTTACCTGGGCAGATAGTAATATGACAAGGGGGAATGGTTTATACTAAAAGAGGGTAGATTTAGATCATCTAGAAGAGAGAAATTCTTCCCTGTGAGGGTGGGCAGGCCCTGGCACAGGCTGCCCAGAAAAGCTGTGATTGCCCCTGGAAGTGTCCCAGGCCAGGTTGGATGGGCTTGGAGAAATCTGGGATAGTGGAAGGTGTCCCTGCCCATGGCAGTGGGGTTGGAATTAGATGGTCCTGATGGTTCATTCCAACCCAAACCATTCTGAGATTCTTTAAGAAAGGTTTTAATATGAGATGAAGCTACACAGGAGGGACAGTGGAGAAAGGTCATTGGTTAAGGAATGACATTTGAGGTGGCTGACTGGAAGTGATGCTTCTGTCATCCCTCCCATTGCTTGCCTGAGCTGTAGCTGTGGTTTAGACACTGATGGTCCTGTTCTCCAGGTTTTCCAAGAGGCAGAAGACACTGTTGGTCTGACCAGCATGGCAGAGATGATGTTTTCAATTACTCCCAGACATATAGAGCTGAAGTGCTTCTGCTTTTCAAGAGAATATTTGAGGACTCCAACAATTATTTGTACATTCAGAAAGTGCTTACTAAAAATCTATGCCTCTGATCAGCAAACTCCTTGGATGGATCTTCACACTCAGAGTAAGAAAAGGACCAGACACAGGGGTGATCTTTGTTGGAAATTTTCAATTTGAAGTTCTTCTAAAGTGTAGCCATCTAGAAAGTCTGGAGCCTCCCACTCTGTAGGTAACTAAGAAGTTGTATGTGCTGAGAGAAGCGCTGCACGATGCATTGGTCATGCTGGCTTGTGTTCAGGGTATGTGCATCCCTCTCAGATCTCAGGTTTTGCCTGTTCCTAAGGGCTTTTGCCTGTTCCTAAAGTCTTTCATTAGTGGGGATTAAACTTGTCCTTTGGGTCAAATTTTACTCATATCTCTCAGAAATCTTACTTAGAGGAGCACCAGCAGTTGCACAGAGTACCTGGCTTAGCTGTAGCTGTGCTCCAGGCTTAAGTGCTGACACTGGAAGCTGATTTACATCTACCCAGGGAGGGGCTGTGCCACATCCAACCTGCTGGGAGGTCCCAGGAAGGATCTGGAGGAATTTATTCATCTCTTCCAACCACCTCTCCGTTGAGGGTCTTGTGAGCTCTTAGGTTTATCAGGTTGTCCCTGGTAAGCTCTGGATACCAGGCTGGATGGGGCTTGGAGCAACCTGGTCTAGTGGAAGGTGTCCCTGCCCATGGCAGGGAGTTGGAACTGATGCCTTTTTGGGACCACCTGAAAACAGGGGCCCCACAAAATTAAAGGGAATAAAAAGAACTTGTATTTATTGAAGGGCCTTCAGGTACACTTGGGGCATACAAACCTCCCCCCATGGGCTACACCCCAAAAATAGACAATGGGTCATAGGTTTTCATATTTTTTAAGTTTGGTTCACTTGCGTATTGTGGCGTTAATCTACCAATTACACCTCCAAGTAATGAAGTAATTTACCCCAAGTTTGTTGCCCCCAACTTTTGTTTACATTTCTCAGGCCCTGAGGCAATAAGGGCGATTCCCATTTTCCCATGATTCCCAGGGCAGAGAGGAATTATCTGACCAAAATGGGAAAGCAGCAGCTAACACTCTGTATGGAATCTAGAGTTATACACTAAAGAATTGCAGGATTACAAATATATGAAAATAGAAAGGGTATAATCCTAAGGCATCAGGACTAGGTGGTCTTTAAGGCCCTTCCCAACCCAAACCATCCTGGGATTCTTTGATTCTATGATTTAATTAACTTCTGTGATTCTCTAAACTTTGGGTTTGTTCTGACTATGCACCACTGGAAACAAACTTATCTACTGCTGGAGCATGAAACTAGTTTTCTGACCGCATCTCCTGAAAGTTCCTTCCCTTGTTGTTACCACATCCATAGATATGATTATGGTTTTGATTGAGAAGCTTATGTGCCTCAGGGCTACTGGTCTGTCTGATGTCCCTGTGTGCAGTGCTGCTTCACTGCTCCTCGCTGCCTCATGACACTGGATACAGGGACACAGGATATGGGGATAAACACACAATTTACCTGTCTAAACCTGGTGCCAGGTCACTAACCTGGAGCAACAGGATTTGCTGTTTTTATGATGTTTTTCAAGTTGAATCTGCATGGCTTCAGCATGTGCCTCAGCCCACCAGTCCTTGGGGTTTTTACTGGATTTGTGTGGGGAAGATGACACTGAGCTCTGACATCTCCCCTGCTGCCTCACAGTGAGCTGTGCAGAGAGCACATGCCAAGGAATCAGCTATCCTATTTATTTCTGAAAGACCAAGGATACAAATACTCTTCTGAAGGAGCCTGCTGTAGTCTTAGTTCTATAAATATATATTTTAAAAAATAAGTCTTGAGTCTTGTGTTCTGGATATGTGTTCTTTTTTTAAAGTTGTCATGTTCACTTTCTGTTGGGGATGGGTTTGGGGTCCATGCAAAGCATCTTAGTCTCTCCTGGATGGAAACCTACAAGATCACGTCCTCGCTCTGCCTTTATTTCAGTGCTTGCTCAATACCAATGCAGTAGTGGGAGAAAACACCCCAAAAGAGAATGGGAGGAGAAGTGCTTATGATTAGCCATGAGCTGCAGACCATGCAGGGTTTTCCCTGGAAAACCTACGTTTCTCCTGGAAGAGTACCTGCTCTGCAAAAACTTGCATGGTTTCTTTTTTGTGATTTTTTTTCCACTGACTGAGCACAATAGTTGCTGTTTGGCTTTTCTGGATGTAGAGGTGCCCAGTGAGGCTAAACCTTGGCTTGCACGTTTACTAAAAGCACAGAAGTAATCCCAAAACTGGGGTGATGGGGAAGGTTTCCCCCTACACCCATGTAAGGCTTACCTTTCCCATAGATACTACAAATTCCAGGTTACACTAGTAGCATAAAGACTTCTCAAGCCCTAAGCACAAGGTCCTACGGATAGAGCAGTGCCTGTTCAAGGCAATTAACTGGACTGTGATGTGTTCTGCAAAGTGCCACTGAACTCTGGGGGGGCACTGGGAGAAGTCAGTCCTGTCCCAGTGGGGACTGGGCCCTGTTCCAGCTGCGGCTCCCTGGGGATGTCTGGCTGCCAGGAGAGGGCTCTGAGGGACAGCAGTTCCTGCTCAAGGGCTGAGCCAGCATTCCTGCTGTGCTGGAGGTGTCTTAGGCCGTGGGGCAGACACAAGTGACCTCATCCATCCTCACTACTGGGGGCTTGGCTTCTCATCCCACATTCCCTGTAGCAGGAGCTTGGGCTGGCCCTATGGACAGTCTTTGAGTCCCTGCAGCAGGCTCTGGTTCACTATGGACTATCCGGGAGTCCCTCTGGACAGTCTGTGTGTCCCTGTGGAGGGTCTCTTTGTCCGTATGGATGGTCTCTATGTCCCTGTGGATGATCTCTCGGTCCCTATAGTGGACCCTGGTCATCTGTGGAGTGTCTGTCAGTCCCTACAGACAATCTGTGGGTCCCTATGGCAGACCTCGCTCATCTAGGGATGGTTTGTGGGGTCCCCACAGACAGTCTGTGTGTCCGTGGACATTTTGTGACTCCCTATGGCGTGTCTGTCTGTCCCTAGGGTGTCT